TTCAGCAAATCAACCAGGATCTCATTCCAAACAGAGGTAATCTCAGTTTAGCTTGAAACAAGGATGGTAATTATTTCAGATGCGCCCTGTACAATTAACATCAGTGATCAGTCCACATATATTATTGATTAAAGCAGTAGTTATGTTCTAACATTGTTATATAACTCAAAATCCATTACATTTACAACTGATTAGCTTCTCTTTTCTTAATAACCAGTGAGTATAAACAAAGTATATAATTTCTGCCATAAAGGAAGTATGCTTTGCTTCATATCCCCCTCCCGATCCACCCCACCAATAATGGTCAACCCTTCAGCATTCTTTCCCTGATCTCTGGAACTCTATCCCAGAGTCCAAGTTGCTCACTTCCTCCCAGCCTTCAAACCCTGCTTGGGCTCCCAGTACCAATGAGTTTGCTGATTTTTTCACAGATCAGTAAACATGCTACCAAAATTCACAAAAACCCTATTTGTGATATCCAATCCAAGACACAATCAAACACTTAAGTTTAAATTTATAGTTTTTTTGTTCCGCTGCCAATGGCTAATCTCTACTTTTATCACAATATTCTCACACTATTTTCACAGTATTTGGTTGCTGGGTCTTGTTGTAATGCTGGAGACTGAACCCTTGCTTTTTGATTTCAACAATACGCCAAGTACAAGGTCTTTGCTAAGAAGTTCATAAGATCGGTCTGGATGAAGAAGACCCTTTGGCCAATTTGAACTCATCCGTCAAGAACATCCACCTTACCACCACCCTACCCTCACGCCTCTCAATGCATCAAGTTACTTTTTAAACAAGTCTATATAATCCTTATAATAATAATCCTTGCATTTGATATAGTGCTTTTCATGTCTTCTAGGCGTCTCAAAGTGCTTCACAGATTATACTGCAAAGTGAGTTACCGGTATTTGTGGGCAAAACGCAGCAGAGAAAATTGGAAAAAAAATAATGTAACCTTTCAGGGACACTAAAACCTGTGCAGTGCCTATTAGACTTCTTCCAGCGATGGGGAGTAAAATACACATATATCTGTCTGCGCAACATCAACACACTGAAGGAACTCAGATCAAAGTCCAATGAATTCTATGAATTTCGAAAAACCCAATATTCTTAAGCATTTTCAATTGCTCCATGTCAGAGCATCATATTGAGTCAACTGGTACATGTTCAGTGTTGGAATGTTTGATATTCTTGGTATCCAGTGAGTGCAAGCTGAGTCTTTGATGTTTATCTGTTTCACTGAAAGAAAGATAAAAGTATTGTGTTCTTGATGACCAGAGGTAGAGATAAGTCCATTTTTTTACACTGACCTGTATCATCCAGATAGATGGAGGAGATTTTATCTTTTTTCGAAATCGAGTAACCAGGAGAGTCTTAGTGCTCAACATTGACCTGAATTTCATTCTCGAGTCCTTCGTCTGCAAGTATCCTCATTCACTATGTCCATTTTATTTGATGCCAAAAGGTGACATTCACTTCGCATCACCAAATATTCATAAAGTTAACTATAAATATTTTATTGCTTTTGTAATTATGCATATAATTCACACAGAGGGTTGTAAGGATGTGGAATGTACTGCCCCAAAAAGCTGCCAACACAACATCAACTGGAGTGTTTAAAAGGAGATAGCTACATTCTTGGGGGGTGAGGGTATTAAGGGGCTTGAGGAAATGGCAGGGAAATGGGATTTGAAGATCTGCCATGATCTATTTAAAAAAAAGGCCCAGCAGATTAAATGGGCGCCTTTGTCCAATTTGTAGTATTTCTTTACAAATTCATGATTGAAAGTTTGTTGTCACTGAATCTCTCCAACATCACATGTGCCGAATACATTATTCATTGTATTTTAAATATGATTCTTATTAAGACACAGTGAGAAATATCACAAAATTACACCTCACATTCACATTTTTCAAATCTTCCTACAAAGTGCCTTCATTTTATTTTATATTTCCAATGGAATTTTTTATGTTGACCTGTATCATCCAGTTAAATGCAGGTGATATCAACAACAACAAATTACAATTGTATAGACTCTTTCGTGTTGGGAGGTCCTGCCAAGGCGCTGGAAAGTCAGGGAATTGACCCGAGCATGGAATTGGGATCAGGAGCGGTGGAGGGCAGGGAGGGTAGGGGTAGGAGGATGGCCGAAGGCACGATCTTGAGACATGCCTTGAAGGAGCCAAGGGAGGTAGTGTGGCAAAGCGACTGTCGGGTGGAATTCCAAAGGGTAAAGCAGAGAGGCTGAAGTCCCGACTGTCGATGGTAGTCGATGTGGAGGTAGCAGGTCAGAAGTAGGAGGGAAGCAAGTGCATGGAGGGCTTTTAAGGTGAGAACGAGGATATTGAATTCTCCTCTGGGGGATGGGGAAGTCAGTGGAGCTGGGCGATATCCAAGAACAAATTTAACTATTTCTCGATTTCACACAAGATTGTTGTGAGTTCGACTCCAAGCTCATAAATCTGCCTTTTATTGCTCTGTTAAAAGTATATAGATAGCAGATTATTATCTAGGAAAGCCAAAGTCAACTGTGTTTGTCACATTCACCCATGAGGCAATTTCCTATCTTTTTCAATTTAAGGGGTCAAACATTGGATAAGAATTAAACTTTAGCAACATACAATAATAATCCTTGCCTTTGACATTGTGCTTATCATGTCATCAGGATTATTAAAGTGGTATAACTGCATATTGGTAGGCCAACGGATTTCCAAACTTTGTTTCTGGTTGTATTCAAATATTTTAGTTTCTCTCTAGGTTTTTCTCTTTTATATACATTTCCCCATTTCTGCAACAATCCATCTACTGTGTGAATATGTAGTCTACCGTGTGAATATATTTCTTTTCTTTCCAAAGTGAAGATTTTATTCAGATTTTAGAAAAATGCACAAGGAAGATCAGAAGCACAAAAAGAAACCTACGTACATAAATGGAAGCAAGCTTTCCTAGCTACCATTACTGAGGCATAATCTTTGAAATTGTGCAATACCCTGAACTGTTTTAACAATTTTGAATGTAGCTAGTTCAAAGAGATGCCACTTCTATGGTGGAATACTGCATATGGCAAGTACTTGCTAGGACTAGAATTTTTTTTATGAAAAGAAATACCTAAATATTTTTGGAGCTTTGCAGACCCTCATTTTCACTTGGCAAACCCTTGATCGGATACTGGCTTGGACCATGTAAATCAAGGGAAAGTGCTCGGAGTGTGACAGATCCTCATTACAAGTACTTGTGGGATTAGTCCATTTAAAGTCTGGCCGCCGTATGTTTCCCCCTCCCTCCCAAATTTCCATTAAATAGTTATTAATGTACTATTGCCCTTACTGAGGCCCTCCTGATTGGTTCGCGTCAGGACCTCTGCACCTCAGGCTCTGGCAACATCAACCTCCATTGTTGCACACTAAAACTCACCAAGCCAGTCAGGAACCTAGGTGTCTTGTTTGACCCTCAACTGTCTTTTCTTCCCCACATCCAAGCCATGACCCACTCTGCCTTCCCTCACCTCCGTAACATCACCCAACTACCTCAGCCCTCAGGCCGCTGAAACTCTTGTTCATAACCTCCATGCTCAACTATGCAAATGCCCTGCTTGTCAGCCTTCCCAACTCCACCCTCCACAGGCTGCAGATAATCCAGAATTCTGCAGCCGTGTCCTCTCCCGCACCAAACTCCATGACCCCATCTCCCCCATTCTCTCCCGACTCCATCAGCTCCCTGTCCTTCAGAGGATCCTGGTCCTCACCTAAAAGCCCTCCATGGCCTCGCCCCACCCTATCTCTACGACCTCCTAACCCCCTACCAACCCGCCCGCTCCCTCCGCTCAGCCGGCTCCGGCCTGCTCCACGTCCCCTGACCCACCCGCCTCACCATTGGCAGAAGAGCCATCAGCCACTCTGCCCCCAACCTCTGGAAATCCATTCCCCAATCACTCTGCCTCACCCCCTCCTTAGCCTCCCTCAACACCCTCCTCTTCGACCATGCCATCGGTCACTCCCTTCCCCTCCCCTCCCTTCTCCTTCCCTGACCCCAGCTCGGATCTGAAATGCTGTACACTGTCCAGCGACTTGGGACATCCTCCCGACATGAAAGGCGCTTTACAAATGTAATCCTGTTGTTGTCTTCTTGTTACTCCCTTATCCTCATCCCAAATAGTATGAACTTCCTCTTCCTACCAAGGAAGGGAAGAAATGATTCCCTTTACTTTGGATATCAGTTTGGTTGTGTCTGGTGTGGATTTTAATCACCTTAGTTTGCTAGTTTCACCTTCAACCTAGGTTTCCTCACACCATTCTTCCACTAGTTCACAATCAAAGGCTATTAATCAATATGCCCACAATTTCAAACCAGGGCCAGAACTCACCCACACTGCTGTGAGAACCAGGATTGTGGTTGTTAAATGTCCAATTTCCACCAGCAATAAATCTAACTAAATGGGTCATATACATCTCCAAGTGGAAAGATAACCCAAGCTGAAACTTGCATCTCAGTAAGATCTTGTATCTACTAATCGGAGGAAAGAGATTTTTAGTGCTATGATTTATGGAGTATTTGAATGACAAAGAATGTAAGAAAACTTGGAACCAGATATCCTTTTGAAGGTAGCAAACCATGGACAATAGTTATTTTGGATATAAATAAACAAATTTTACATTTATATAGCGCTTTCCACATCGGAGGGAATGTTCCAGTGTGTTTAACAATACTGATGTGGAACCTGAGCTGGTGGTGGGAACTGAGTGGGGTGGGGAGGGGAAAAGATGACCAAAAGTGCAGGCAAAGAGGTAGGTCTCAGGATAGATCTTGAATGAGGTGAGAGATGGAACAGGTGAGAGATGTTCCAGACTGGAGGCAGATAGGCTGTGCTGGTGTGGGGGTTGTGGAATGATGCAGGCCTGTGACAAATAATAATAGTATTCAGGTAGCAGATTTACAGCACACAAGTTTGATCAGTTTATAATCTTTTACATTTCTTGAGATAGATTTCCTTTACCTTAACAATGAGACCTTTAGAGTCAACCATCCAGATCTTGGAAATACCTTCTTCTTTAGATGTTCCTTCCTTCTCCATCGCCATGACAATAAGATCAGCTATTCCAAGGGCAGCCTAAATTGGTTTAATAAAAAACTAGGTTTTAAAATATATTCAAACCTTTGAAGTAGTAAGAGCAGGCATGCCTGTAGTTTGCATATTTTAGACAAACGCATTTTCTTTAAACCATTATATTGTATTTTATAAAGAAATACAAACAAAATTGGGCCTACTTTCGAGACATTTTTCCCAAGGAACCATCAGATAGTATAGAAGAGTGATCTGAGTTGACTCAAGAACATAAGAAAACAATTGAATAAGAAAAGGCCATTCCACCCCTCCATCATCATTGTCACAGATTCCGTACTGTCTATACTATGGGCTTAATCCAACCAATTTGATCTCAAGATAACAATTCCTCATGGTAGCAGAGAGGTCTTCAACCAGTGGGGCTTAAGGTCACAAACTACACCCAACTATTTTGTGACATAAACACAGAAGTTGCTGGGAACATGCAGCAAGTCAGGCAGCATCCATGGAGAGAGGAAAATGAGTTAACGTTTCAAGTCTATGACCTTTCGTCAGAACGTTAACACATTTTCCTCTGGTGCTGCCTGACCTGCTGTGTGCTCCCAGCAACTTCTGTGTTTATACCAGATTTCCAACATCTGCAGTACTTTGCCTTTTGTATTTTGTGATACAGCAGGTTGGAGCTCCAATAAATGTTATTATCATGTGGCTTGGCTGTTCAATATTAACGTCCTAAATGTCAAACTGTATCAAATAATAGACATCCTGCAGACCTTTTATAATGTTCGTAAAGAATTTGCTAAGCATATATTGCTAGCACATTTCCATGTGATGCGTGTTAAAACCACCTGTGTAAATTGACATTGTTTTGAAATGAGAGACCAGTATTTCAGTTTTGACTGATATTGGGCTGCCGGGCTTGAATCCACAACCTTCTGAATCAAGGTCAACAGTTCTACCAACTGAGCCAGGCTGACACGTGGACTGTGCCATGGAATAAATCAGAATCTCCCTCAGAATTTGTAATATTGGTAGCAAGAAGATGCCAAGCAGAAGGAGAGAAAAATATGTTGCGATTCCCAACTTGTTTTTGCCACCTGATGATAACAAACAAGATAGAAATATGTATATTGAGCAGGATGGGGCAAAAGCCATCTGGTTATATATAAAAAGAAGCTGGGAATCATAACAATTTAATTATCATTAAGTAACACCTCACACAATGCAATTTTTAGCCTTTACGTGAAATGGATTTTACCCTATCAAGGTAAGAAATTAATTAATATTCCCAGCAATAACTATTGTCCACAGACTTACCTCTCCAGCTCCTTGAAAGAGAAATTTATGATCAGACAACTTGGTTTTAGTGATACGCAGGGATGCCATGAGACCAGCGACTGCCACTGCAGCAGTTCCTGAAGAAGAAGCATGTCAGTTAACAAATAGTTTTTACAAAGGTTCAGCTAATAAATTTAAAATACCTGCAAGATATGAAAAATGTAATAATCTCAATTTGGTTTTATTACATCAAAATTGCAATTGTTCTAAATAGTCTTCAACAACAACTTACAAGAGAATATAGCACTTGATTTCAGGAGGACGTTTCAAAGCACTTTACCCTTCTGACTGGGGATCCAAGCAGGGGAGCTGAGGAGGGTATGGGGGAGGTGGGGAAAGCTGTCAATTTCTTAATTTAGGAATTGGTTCCTGTGCTGTACAAACAACTGTCCAAGGAACGTGGAAGATACAGTATCATAGGGAGCAAATCCCAATTCGGTTCTCACCCAGATTACATTGCAGTGGGTGATTCAAAAGGTTTCTGAAATCATCTTCTCTCGGTAGTGTCAGAAGCCAACTCAAGGTCAATTTCTCACTGACTCAACTTTGATTTTCGCTGTACTTTCCCACAGCACAACTGCACATTATGCATTGTAAACTGAGGGAATGTTTAGCATCCTGGATTCCATGTATAAACACAAAAGCATGGAAAAAGAATTGGTCACTCGGCTCAAACTGACATCTTCCCATGTCTATGACTGTATGTAAACATCATGCATTCTACCCATTTTATAAAATCTCCTGGGAAAAGTGAATCACAGGTAAATCTGCCAAAATGTTGCCTTGAGAATAATATTTTGAGGTGCACATGTGGTTAGCATTCTCCAATCCACTTGCAGGTAGCCAAGACCAGGATCAGAAATTGGCAGGGGATGTTACCTTAAGATATCAATGACCTGAAATGGAAATCATACAGCAGTTGTGTTATTGCCATTTCAACTCCTTCCCCTTCCAATCTTTCTAACTTGATCAGACAACAACAACATCCAAATTATATTTGTATAGCACCTTTCATGTTGGGAGGACATCCCAAGGCGCTGGACATTCAATGCTTCAGAGCTGAGCTGGGGGTCGGGAAGGGTGGAGGACAGCGGGGACGCAGGATGATCAGATGCATGGTCGAAGAGGAGGGTCTTGAAGGATGCGAGTTGGAGGTGGGGGGAGCGAGGCAGAGGGACTGCAGGATGGAGTCCCAGAGTGTAGGGGCAGAGTGGCAGAAGGCCTGCCCGCCAATGCTGGGGCAGGCGAGGTGGAGAACGTGAAGCAAGCTGGAGCCAACTGAGCGGAGGGAGCGGGCAAGATAGTAGAGGGTTAGGAGGTCGCAGAGGTAGAGGGGTTCAAGGCCATAGAGGGCTTTGAAGGTGAGGACCAGGATCTTGAACTGTATCCTCTGTATGATGGGAAGCCAGTGGAGTCTGGCAAGGATGGGGCTGATAGAGTCACGGAGCCTGGTGCAGGAGAGGACACAGGCTGCAGAGTTCTAGATAATCTGCATTCTATGGAAAGCGGAGTTGAAGAGGCAGACAAGCAAGGAGTTTGCATAGTCAAGCCTCAATGTTACAAATGCATGCATGGTTTCGGTGGCCTGCGGTGTGAGACAGTGTCGGAGCTGGACGATGTTGCGGGGGTGGGGGAAGGCAGAGAGGGTTAGAAAGGATAGTTGAGGTTCAAACAAGACCCCAAGGCTCCGGACTGGCTTAGTAAGGTGGAGTGTGCATCCATGGATGGTAATGGTGTTAGTGCCTGAGGGGAGCCAATCAGGAGGAACTCGGTCTTGTTGACGTTCAACTGAAAAAGTTAGCTCTCATCCAGGACTTGATGTCAGACAGACATTCTGTCAGGACAGCAGTGGTCCTGGAGTCCAGGGTTGAAGCAGAGAAGTCGCCTAGTATGAGGAGACGTTCGGAGCAGAAGGAGAGGGAAGATAGGAGGGTGGAGATGTCGGGGAGGAAGGTGGGGGAGGGCTTAAGGGGGGCAGAGGAAGAGGGAAGATAAGAGAGTGGAGTTGTCGGGGAGGAAGGTGGGGGAGGGGGAGGGATGGGGGGCAATAGTGGCATGTTTAGCCCACTGGCATGGATCATCATGACCAGCATTATAGCCTCAGTAAGTCCAAGCTGAGAAATTCAAAGGTGGAGGGCGGTTGTAATATCATGCGGCAGCTGGTCTCTGGTTGGATTGGCTGAACAAGATCAAGGCTTTTTGTTGCATTGAGGAGCAACTGCTTCTTCCTTAGAAAGGACTGTCTTCTTCAACCTCAGTCATATCACTCGCCTTCGCCGCCATCTTACTTCAAACACTGCTGGAATTCTCATTCATGCTTTCGCTACTCCTACTTCGATTTTTCCAATGCACTCCTCGCCAGTCTAACCAGCTCCACTATTAATAAAGTTTTGCCCCACCTCTTCCCATTTTCAATACCACTTGAAGACCTTGCCTTCGGTCACCCCCCCTTTTCCGGTTTAGCATCAAGCTGTTAAGCACTCCGAGATTCTACCCCAATGAAGAGTGCTATACAGTGCAAGTTGTTGTTGTATTAATTTAGAAGCTAATCCTACAATCTGGACATATACAAGAACTTTTAATAAAAGCAGACATCAGCATAGAAGATTGCTTTATGTTGAGTTCATCGGTTTATCACCACTCCAAATAAAGATTAAAAACATTGGTCATGGCTGTTTGTGGGCCATTGATATGTGCTAATTGGTTACCGCATTCACCCAGAAATACATAGTCACTGCACTTTAAAGAAAAACTTTAAATCACTGGGAGACCTTTCAAGATTGATTTCAGCGCTGTATCAAATGTGAGGATTATAAGACTCCAGACTCACTGCAGCACAATTTATAATTGTGGTTTCATGCATTTGTATACAGCATTATATCCATCTGCCTGCAGTCGTTAAACAGAACACCCATTCCTCTCAGCTGCGTTCAGTCTGAACAAGTGTGAGAGTTTTAGTTGCTTGAAAACTGCACGTAATACCTCACGGAAATGGGTGATTTTATTGGGGGTAGAGGTAAATCTGACAGCATATTGGCTCATCAACACTCATCAAACTATCCTAAAACAGAACAGTCCACAATTGAAACAAAAGATTCTTTTGTGGGCAGNAAAAACAACATTACATTTGTATAGTGCCTTTCACGTCAGGAGGACATCCCAAGGTGCTGGACGGTCAGTGTTTCGGGCCTGAGCTGGGGGTCATGATTGCAGAGGGTGGAGGGCAGGACGAGGAAGCAGGGTGATCGAAAGCACAGTCGAAGAGGAGGGTCTTGAGATGGGTCTTGAAGGAGGCAAGGAAGGGGGCAAAGCAGAGGGACTGAGGGATGGAGTTCCAGAGGGTAGGTCGGGCGAGGCAGGGGACATGAAACAGGCTGGAGCCCGCTGATCGGAGGGAGTGGGCAGGATGGTAGTGGGTTAGGAAGTCGCAGAGGTAGGGGGGAGCAAGGCTATGGAGGGCTTTGAAGGTGAGGACCAGGATCTTGAACTTTATCCTCTGAGTAATGGGAAGCCAGTGGAGTGCCAGTGAAGGGGAGGGAGTGAACAAAAGAAATTTAAAGCATATGGTTTCATACTTTAAATCCTATGCTGAAAGTGAGCTTAGCTTGGCATTCATAAAGGCCTACACATTAACAAAAAATAACTCCTGAAACTGGTTGAAACAATGGTTTTACAAATAGTTTCACCATACATAGTTTAGGACAAGGCAGATTATAAATAACACGTTACAGGATGACGAAGGGCAAAAATCAGAACAGTACGATTAGATATTGATTTATCTCAAAAACCTTCAAGGGCTCTTGAAAATATTAAAATAATCAATCATCACGTTTTTGGCCAGGTAGAAATATAATTTTCCATCATGACATGTTCTGAATGGATTTTGTAGCCTTGCTTTCAGTACCATGTGTGCCTTCAAGAAATGCAGAAGCAATAGATTACAAAGCATAGGAATCAGAAATGGGAAGAGAGAACGTTGGAAATGTACCAGCATAAAAAAACAGCAACTTGAATTTTACTGCAGCTCATCATATTGAAAGATATCAGGCTTTACTGTGGAGGCCAGTGACTGCTGTTATCTCTCAAAGCCAGCAAATCACACCGATGAGTCTCGAGTTCAATGGCAAATTAATTTGAGAACAAAAAGTGAAACTCCCTTATCTTTTTGAGAAGCATCATTCAGTTTTGAATACAGAGAAATTCCTGTGTAGATCACATACATATTGGGAAGGGGCAGCTAAATGGAACTGAAAGGATTGCTCTTTAAAAGAGCCAGCAGAGGTGGCCAGCACCGAATCGCCTTCTTCTGTACTTTACTGTGCTACATTGCGCTATGCTGTGCGTAATTGGCTACCACGCTTCGCCCCAAAAATATAGTCAATTCACTTTACAGTATATTCTGTGAAGCGCTATGAGACATCTTTAAGATGTGATAAGGCGCTGTATCAAATGCAAGGATTAACGTATTATTATACATTTCTATGGTTCTATATGTAGAACTCTCAGTCTGGTATGGATACTCCTAAACGTGGTGATGGATTTTTGCATGTGACAGACACGTGACTATCCAAAAAATAGTCTAAGATCTGCAGCAGTGGGTAGCACTCTCGCCTCTGAGTCAGAAGGTTATGGTTTCAAGCACCCACACCCAAGCTAGTGTAAGACTGATACATCAATGTAGTGCTGGGCGTATGATGCTTCGTTGGAGGTGCCGTCCTTCAGATGAGATGTGAACGCGAGATCCTGACTACCTGTTCAGGCGTACATTAAAGGTCCCATGACATGATTGGAAAAAAGAGAGGTTCTGGCTGTGTCCTAGCCAATGATTTCCCAGATAAAGTGTGGTCATTCACTTCATGGCTGTTTATGGGACAAATTGTGCTCAAATTGCCTGACATATTTAGCCACACTTTGAGATAAATTGAATAATTGATAAGGTACGATATGAATACAAGGATTATTATTATATTCGTCTCTGCTGAAAGATTAGTGCTATAACTTGATCATCTGCTGTATAGTTGCTTTGCCAGTACTTCACATGAGCAAATGTGATTTGCTCATGTGAGACTGTTCTCAA